GAATTAAACCAAGGGCCTTATACATGCTAGGCAAGCATACTACCAGCCCAGTATTTTGTATTTAAAATAATAACAATAATAATAAACCATCATCCTGTCCCAGGACCTTCGGGAGAAGCACAAGATTACCACCTTCCAGGATGCTGCATTGTTCTGGGGGAACAAGCAACACTCGTGAAAATATGACATATGTGATTAATACTGGGAATGGGCCAAAATACATGATACTGTCCACTCTTGAGCCAAACCCAACAAGGACTATCCTAAGCTAATTCTCTGTCTCTTTACTCTCATCTTCATTGGATATAGACCAAAGCTTTCAAACAAAATAGGAACAAAAGGTATGGCAATTACATCATCATAATTTAAGATTTTGCTCCTATTTTTATTTAATGAAAAAGTAAAACACATTAAAGGGACATTTTGTGGGGCTGTGTCTGTGTGTGTTTTTAGACAAGGTCTCATTTTCTAGGTCAGTCTGGCCTGGAACTCACTATGGAGTTCAGGGTGGCCTCCAACTCATGGTGATCCTCTTGCCACAGACTCTTGAGTGCTGGGATTATAGGCATGTGCCACTATGCCCAGCCTAAAGGACATAACTGAAAAGAAAAAACTTTCTCTTCAGAAACATATACACAGCTCATGAAGTTCAAAAATGGATTGCTAGACAATGGTGGTGCACGCCTGTAATCCCAGCACTCAGGAGACTGATGCAGGAGGATTGCTTTGAGTTTGAAATCAGCCTGGGCTACATAGTGAGTTCCATGTCAGTCTCAACTACATAAATGAGACCCCATCTCCAACCCCCCCCCAAAAAAACTGAATACAAATTCAAGAAATCAAAAGGCCAAATATAATAATAGTAAATGAGTGAAAAATGGAGCCGAGGAATCAAGCTACAATCCAAAACAAGCCAGGTATAGAGACGTAAAACTGAAATCCCCACCACTCAGAAGGCCAAGGCAGAAGGATCACAGGTTGGAACCCAGCCTGGGCAACTTAACAAGACCCTATCTCAAAATAAAATGTAAAAGACAGGGGGGCCGGGGATTGACCTCAGCGGTTTGGTGGCCTGCTTTGCAAGCTCAAGTAAAAAAAAAAAAAAAAAAAATAAAATAAAATAAAATAAAATAAAATAAAATAAAATAAAATAAAAGGCAGGGATGTTTCTCTGTGGTAGAGCTAGCATATGTAAGACTCTGGGTTCAATCCCTAGTACAGAAAACAAGCAAACAAACAAACAAAAAACCCAACAATTAAAACAAAAAAAAAAAACATTTAGGAAAATGAATAAGTAAGAAACAACAGCTGGGCATGATGGCACAAGACTGTAATTCCAGCACTCTGGAGGCTGAGGCAGGAGGACTGCCACAAATTTGAAGCTAGTCTGGGTTACATAGTGAGTTCAAGGCCAGCCTGGACTACACAGGGAGACACTGCCTAAAACACAAAACAAGAGCTAAGGATTTAGCTCAGTGGTGCTGCTGCCTGTCTCGAAAATACAGGGTCCCAATTTGGATCCCCAACTCCTGGCACCAAACAAAAACAAAAACCAAACCAAACAAAGAGCATTAACGCATCCAGAAACTAGAACATAAATATCAAGTATGAAAAAAGACCAGTCAACATCTGAATAATAATAGGAGTCACTAATGTAAAGGACAAAAGAGATGGAGAGGAAATGTAGGGAATGTATACAGACACACAGGATGGAAAATTTTCTTGCATAAAGAATGGGTTAATGGGCCCAGGATTTAGCTCGGTGGTGACGCCACCAGCTCTGCAAGCACAGGTCCTGAATTCAACCCCTGGTACCAAAAAAAAAAAAAAGCCACGTGTTTGAGGCCACTCTGGACTACACGTTTCAGGCCAGTCTGAATTATATAGTGAAACCCTGTCTCAAAAAGGGGGAAAAAAGAAAAAAAGAACAGGTGTATCTTCATGGTAGCCCACTCTACACTGTATATTTTTTTCCCTTTTTTCTAGTTTCATTTGGCCCAAACTCAACTCTGCAGAGCCTTTTTCTTACCCTATCTTTAATTAATGTAAAACTATGCCAGCAGTTAAAAAAATCTCAGATTGAAAGGGAGCATCACAGCAATGAAAAAGACTAATAAAGAACCATCAATATTCAGACATATTCTGGTTAAGTCTATCATTTCAAATATCATTAAATAATTCTTTAGAAAAAGTTACTTACAAGATGAATATGAAACACACTGATGACACATGCCAACAGTGTTAGTCTCTATTTGAGCACAGAATCAATTAGAATCAATTTTTCATCACAGGAAAATTGTGTAATCAAACCACATGGACACCTAAAAATCTGTCCATTTTTGCATTTATAAATATATTCTCTTTTTTTTTTTGGTACTGGGGATCAAACTCAGGACTTTGAGCTTGTGAGCAGGTACTGGCACCACTGAGCCAAATTTCTAGCCGTGTAAATATATTCTTGAGAAATGTCAAAGACACTGGAAGCTAAGAATCTATATCTTTAATCAAACTGAAATAGAGCTGGGGATTTAACTCAGTGGTGCCTCAGCCTGCCTGCAAATGCAAGGTCTCAAATTCAATACCAGATACCAAAAACCCCAAAACAAACAAACAAACAAAGATTAAACTGAAATAAACTCTCATTTAACACCAAAATAAGACTCTAATAACAAATGACAGAATTCCTTTGTTGTTGTCTTTTTTTTTCTTCCTTCAGATTGGGTCTTGTTGTGTAGCTTCAGGCTGGTCTCAAATTCCTGGGCTCTAGTGATACCACTGCTTCAGTTTGGGAATGATAAAACTCCTTTGTTGTGTTTTCCTGACATTTCTTGTTACAAATCATTTCAAAACCTGTTTAAAATGTAAATTTTAGCAAGGCGTGGTGGCGTACACCTGTAATCCCAGTACTCAGAGGCTGAGGCAGGAGGACTGCTGTGAGTTGAGACCAGCTAGAGCTACATAGTGACTTCCAGTCAGTCTCAAGGACATAGTGAGACCTTGTCTCAATAAACAAACAAACAAACAAACAAATAAATGTAAATCTTTGTAAAGAACTATGAAACATGTTTAGGCAATAATGATAAATCATAAAGCACTTAATGAAATAAATTAATTAAAAAGAACTAAGAGTGAGCATTGAGTTCAACTACATATAGGTTAAGGTTTAAAAAACAAGGTGGAAGGGCCGGGGATTTAGCTCAGTGGTTCCGCTGCCTGTGCAAAGATCCAAGTGTGATCCCCGGTACAAAAACAACAAAACAAAAGGTGGAAAGGTAGCTGTGGATCTGAGAGTAAAAATAAGACAAGCGTCAAAAATTTAGGTGACAAAAAGTAGAGAAGAGGGAGGACGACATATATTATCAAAGCAAGGAGTCAACTCATACTCTACGTCTCAATGAGCCCAATCTCACAAAAATTTATTTAATTTTTTTTGTTTCTTAGATCTATTAAAAACTTTGAAAAAACAACAGGTAAGACTCAGCAGTTCTTAGTTTTACTTTAATTTTTATCTATCATTCATCCATCCATCTATCTATCTATCTATCTATCTATCTGTTCTGTTGTTCTTATTGCTGGAGACATGGTCTTGCTATGTAGTTCAGGCTGGTCTTGAACTTAAAGTGATCCTCCTTCCTCAGCCCCCCAAGTGCTAGGATTACAGGTGTGCACCTGGCTAACCTAAATAATATTTTAATCTTCATGTTGTGATTCAAAACTTTAACATATGAAATATATTTCAAATATATCAAATATTATGTAGGTTTAAAAATTACATTTGTTTTATTTTAATAAATTCAAATAAAAATAAGTACTTTAAGGCCAGGGATTTAGCTCAGCGGTTTGGTGGCCTGCCTTGCAAGTGCAAGGACCTGAGTTCAATCCCCGGTACCAAAAAAAAAAAAAAGTACTTTAATTACAAAACCATTCAGCATAACCCTATCTGGTGTGATTTATGCAAGTGTATTAATGACCCACACATTAAAGGCTTGGTTACCAACCTGTGGTGTTACAGGGAGATGGCAGAAACTACAAGAGAGGGCCCTACTGGGAAGAAGTTAGGGCAGTGGGGATGTGATTCCATCCAGTAAAGGGGATATTCATATTTAGCCCCTTTCCCTCTCTCTTTTTACTACTTTCCAGCTTCCCTGACTTTTGAGAAGCAAGTTGTTTCATCTGCTACATGCTCTCCCATGATATATAGTACTGTCTTAGCACAGACCCAAAAACTGCAGGCCAATGACCATTGTCAATCACTGGCCTCCAAACTGTGACCCAAAATAAACCTCTCCTCCTTACCAAGTCATTATCTTGTATATTTTGTCACAGTGATGGAAGCTAATACAATATACTTTAAAAAATTAAATTCATTTTTTTAGCCATCCTTCTAGTCTTCTGATAAAACCATACACAAGAGAGTTATATGGAACATTAATCAAATGTTATAAAGTGTTGCTTTTTGGTTTTTTTTTTTTTTTTTTTGGTACCAGGGATCAAACACAGGTCCTTGCATTTGCAAAGCAGGCGCCAGAACCACTGTGCTAAATCCCCAGCCCAAGTGTTGCTTATTTCTGAGGGAAACATTCTGGATATTTTATTGGTTTACTCTTTTTAGGTTTCTAATTTATGTATTTATTCATTTATTTTTGGTACCAGGGATTGAACGCAGGTCTTTGCACTTGCCAGGCAGGTGGCAGCACCACTGAGTTAAACCCCCAGCCTTCTATAATATTTAAATTAAACTATAAACACAATAGTCTTTTATTAATCAGAAAACCAGTCCTTTAAATCACTATAATCTTCTTTCCCCAGCTGGAAAGGCAGTCAGGAAAAACATCTTTTAGACTAGGAAAGAAAACTAATTCAGAAATATAACCATATCAACAAGCACACAAAACAGATCTGAGTTTTTTCTCTTTGGACTCTGTAACACCTAAATGAACAGACTTGTAAAACATGAGTACAGGTACATGGTATCCACAACAGCCTCAGAACTCTCATACCTTCACAACAGGATGGCCCCCAGTAGATGCTTTGACTGCCCCTCGGCTACCTTCAGTTTCATAATGGGCTCGATGATGTGTTTTAGGTTGTACTTCTATTTTCAGTTCACATTGTCCAAAGTGAGTTGGTAAAGGCCAGTCTAATGGAGGTAATGAAGATGTGCTATAAACAAAACACACAAAGATACTAAACACCATGCTATTGTTACCAAATAGTGATTCAAATTACTTCTTTGCCAATACTTTCACCTCTAAAACAAAGTATCCCAAAATGAAAGTTCACTTAACATAACACTGGTTATGGTAGGTGCTTAATAAATAATTTTTTAATCTAAAGACAAAAATCTATTTTATCTACTTTTTGGTTTCCCATATTTTCTTTAAAAAGGACAAATTCTGGGCTGGGGATTTAGCTCAGTGGTGCTGCCACCTTCCTCACAAGCACAAGGCCCTGAGTTCGTTCCCTGGTACCAAAAAAAGGGACAAATTCTAACACTTTGTAAAACTAAAACTTTTTCAAATGCGTGTACATAATTATAAGAATCATCAAAACTACAATAATTTGATTCCTTAAAGGAAAAGATACATATCTCTGTATATCTCTCCAAGAATCTAAAATTTTTCTCACAGTCTCAGTAATGTAACCCTCTCCGGGGTAGGAATATATAGAAGTCAGACATATTGGCCCCGTTACTTCTTCTCTATTGCTCTTTTTCTCATGGCTCTGAAAAACTTTATATTCAGCAATATTTTACAATTTTAAGCAAAAATTTCACTATGTATTTAAATGAAAGAACATGAAGCACCTTTAACATATTCACTCTGCCTTGAACCACCAGTGTACATGATGCATGTACCATAAGTGGTTCAGAATCTCCCAGAAGTGAGACATACAAATTATGGCCCCATATGAACACGATAAATGACAAATTTTTTTGGTGTTTTTGGATAAGGTCTTGCTAAGCAGCTCAAGCTGGTCTTGAACTCACTATTGTAGGTCAGGCTGGACTCAAACTTGCAGCAATTTTCCTGCCTCAACCTCCTGAGTGCTGGAATTACAGGCAGCAGGCACCACCACATCTGGCTTAATGACACTTTTCAAAATATGATCAATGAAGTAAACATCTTAAAAGCCTAAAGGTTTGTTCAGATATACTAACACTAAAAATATAGAATTAGAAAATAACATATTAAGTCAGGTGTGGTGGTGCATGCCTGTAAAGCCAGCACTCTGGGAGGCCAGGGAGGAAGATCACAAGTTCAGGACCAGTTCCAGCAACTTAACAACTTAGTGAGATCCTGTCTCTCAAAATAAAAAAAAAGTAAAATAAGGGCTGGGCATATAATAGCTCAGTGCAAAGGCCCTAGGTTCAATCCCTAGTGCAAAAGAAAAGAGAAAGAAAGAGGAAGGAAGGAAGGAAGGAAGGAAGGAAGGAAGGGAGGAAGGGAGGGAGGGAGGCAGGGAGAGAAGGAGGCAAGCAAGCCATCCAGGCTGGAGATGTAGCTTAGTGGCAGATTGCTTGCCTAGTTTGTGTAGGCCCTGGGCTCAATCCCTAGTAATGCAAAAAATAAAATGACAAAACAAAAGTCACCTAAACAAAACAAACTCTAGTTATCTACAGGTCAAATATTAATGATCCAAACAGGTCAAATATTAACGACCCGAATTACAATGATCTGAGTTAAAAAGTAACATCTTATACATTCACTGAAGGCTAGAATTGTAAAAGGAGAGAAACTACTATACCTTTGTACTTCCTCTGGGGATAAACAGCAGCGATTGATATTCCAAATAGATTTCAATCACCAGGGTGGGGGGCCAATCCAGCCTTTCCAGGAAATACCCCTGGCCCTCACCCTTACTGAAAATCCTTACACTCCAGCTATGTGACTTGTTCTCCCATTTAATCAATATTACCTGGGTGACTGTACATGTAATCTTATTGGTTGGTCATGGTTTTGCCCCACCTCATAATCTTCCATTGGGTCTTACAGTTTTGTCCCACTTTGCACCCACCTCACCACATGGCTTTGCTGTAGAAGACATTTTTGAAAAGTAGGGTGAGAAGGCAACCCATTTTCTGCGCCACCTTCTGCCTCTATTAGGCAGAAGCTTTCTTTCCCTCAATAAATTTTTCCTACTCTTAAAAAAAAAGTATCTTAGTGATTGGTAAAGTAGGACTTTTTTTTTTTAAGTAGAACTTTTAATTTTCCTTCTAACATTCATTCATTTATTCATTATTATATTTCTTTTGGTTTTTGAGATAAGGTCTCACTATGCAGTTCAGGCTGGCCTTGAGCTCTCACTACTGTAGCCCAGGCTGGCCTGAATTGCCAGTGATCCTCCTGCCTCTGCCTCCCAATGCAGAGATTACAGGCATGCACCACCATTTTCACCATTCTAACCTTTAAAATGGTATCATTCCTAGTGTAAATTTCTAAATTACAATTACTTCCTTCAATGTACTCATTCCAGTTTAAGTCTTCCTACTACTAAGAGCTCAAAGGTATTATTATTTTTTAAATTTTTTTCTGCAGTACTGGGGATTGAACCCAGGGCCTTCATATTGAGCTACATTCCTAGCTTTTATTTTTATTTAATTTTTTATTTTATGTTTTAAAATTTTGAGACAGGGTCTCATTACATTGCAAAAATCCCCCGGCTGGGCTCAAACTTGCTATCTTCCTGCTGCAGCCTCCCAGAATGCTGGGATTAAAGGCATGCTCCACCATGCTTGGTTAATATATTAATGTTTGTTAGTCTAAAACAATAAGTCAATTTTATCAATTGTTAGTTCTGTATTTGTTCTGCAGATATGAGCAAACTCATAGGAAATAAGATAAATCTCAGACACAAAGTGATGTCTTTGGCAGACACAGTGGCGCGTGCCTGTAGTCCCAGCACTCAAGAATCTGAGGCAGGAAGATTGATGTGAATTTGAGGACAGCTACATAGTGAGTGGGCTACATAGTGAGTTTAAGACAAGAATGAATTATATAGAGAGACCCTGTCTCAAAAAACAAACAAAACAAAAAAAAAAGCGCTACCTTCAGCAGCAGATTCCACATTCCATTTTTCTAAAGATGAGGATTCCAGAGATAGTTATTCATACTAATAAAAAAGTATTTTTTGGTGGCCTGCCTTGCAAGCGCAAGGACCCAAGTTCAATCCCTGGTACCCCCCAAAAAAAGTATTTTTTAACTTTTTATATACTATATATTTTGTTATTTTATACTAATACATTCTCATATTATAAAGGCAATTCAGTGGAAGAATCTTTCTTTTGATATTTGAATCATCTGAACACAAATAACTATACATTTTTTTAAAAAAGTGTACAGATGAAGCTGGGGATTTAGCCCTGGTTCCACCACCTGCCTTCCAAGTGTAAAGATCCAAATTTGATACCCAGTACCAAAAAAAAAATAAAGTGTACAGGTAACAATAACAAAAAGACAAGAGAAAACAGCAACAAATTTTCCTTTTTATAGGTGGACACTGAAGTGGACCTAATTTGGTTTTCTTTTTAAAGCCCTCCAAAGACAAAAGGCAGCTCAAAACTTAAGATGAATAAAAAACTGTTTACTGAACTACTGAGCCTCCAGAATCAACTTAAAAAGTATCACTTAAAAAAATCCCTAAACCAAATATAAGTAAATAAATAAAAATTAAAAATCCCTAAACAGACACAACTCCATGTGGGAATTTAAAATATGGTAAAAGTAGTCTTTTCTAATGGATTATAGATTATATGCAATCTTCACATAGTATTGTGACAACTGTCAACCTAAAGCTGTTACATTATTCCTCATTCCTTATACCAAAATAATGGTGGATCCAAGATTCAAATATCTATCTGATGAAAATATCATACATTAAATATACACATAATATATACAAAGCTTTATTAAAAACACATGTGAAGCCTAAATTTTTATTTTTAATTATTTTAGAGTAGGATCAGACATACACTTTTTTTTTTTTTTT